AGATAGAAATGAAATATGCCATTGCTATATAACAACTTCATAACACATATCATTGACGCCCGTATTAAAGTGGTTTCCCCTTAAACTGATCTAATTAAACTTAACAAGTAAGGCATGCAAAAGTTTCAAGTTTATTGAACATGACTGACGGGGCGGGGCAAATAATAAAACTGAATGAGATGTGTCAATGTTATTACCACTACATACCAACTATCATTGACTTAATCACAAACTTCGACCTGTAAACTATGCAAAAGTTTCAAAATCAAAGGAACTTGACTGATGGGGGTCTATTCATCCTCATTGAAGATGTGCAAACGACAATACAACTGCATATCATTGGTCATCAGTGGTTCTCATTAAAAGCACATTAAATATGCAAATATTTCAAAGTCAAAAGACCATGATTGAGAAGGCGGGGCAAAATAACCTCCATGGAATTGTTATGTACCAATGCGAATACAACTGCATGCCAAATTTCATTGACTGGACATATGTGGTCCCCTTTACACTTACACAATCACAAATTTTGATATAAAAACTACTAGTATGCAAAAAAATCAATGACGAAAGACTGTGACTGAGGGGGCCTTTGTATATCTAATTCCCTATTGGAATTAGATGTGCCAATATTAATACAACTACACACTTCATATAAATGACTTATCATAAGTGGTTATTTTGGTAGAATAGAGAAGATAGATCCTGACATACTTAACATTTCTATTTAGTCATATTTACTTTTTTTATGATTTTCATGGTTTGACATGTATTAAAACAGTGTATTTATACCACACATATTCCGACTAAAATTAACAAACGCGTGTTGCAGGATCTCAATATCGATATCAAGTATAAACCACATGAATACACCTGTGCTAGTTCTCTATTCATATGTAATCCGGCTTTGCACGTTAAAACGAGCAACCAAACCTTGTCAACAACACTTATCTGTGAAACGTGTTGACCAAAGGGCCTAGCCTACATCCATAAATTCGGAACACATTTTTGAAATACTAATTGATTCAGTCCTGGATTAAGTCAGGCATACCCTAAACATTAAAGCGATGAGGTATATGCCTTTTCATATGATCTGTTTGATGCAAATTAAAACCAAAAAAATCTTAATGGGTCGATAACCACTCATGCTACATCTATCTTAAAAACCTAAATGATGCTAAATTACTTCCCTATCACTTGGACAAACATGTTTTGAAACATGAAAACAAAGTTCCGAACAACGTCGTTTCATTTTTTACATCACATCATATAAACTCCCTGTAAATGAATTAGGTATTGAAAATTCACTTGGAAACCCAGCATATACTCCCATGAGACTTACTAAAGAAGAAATCATGAACAATACAAATTGGTACCGTAAATGTTATCCTAGATTTGTTCTATGTTCCTTTAGAACTTCAAGCAAAAAAAGAAAAACTAAATATTTTCTTCCACTGTTCTGGAAAAAAATAAAAGTACCGAACTCTCAAAGGTATATTCAAAAAGGGGTAGTCCATAAAAGCTGACAAAATCAATCTTTCGGCTATATCAACCAACTAGAAAACAGCTGGCATATTCAATATTGAATATCAAAACAACGTTGTATTGTAGGGTCTGCCAAATGTTCCACGAATTTTCTTTCCAAATTATCAACATCAATTTGATCACCAGTCAAAGCCGGGATTCACAGCTCATATCAAAAATCACTACGTTAGATACTTGAATTTTGAAGAGTCAAAATAGGATGAACGGATCATATAAACCCAAAGGCAAATATAATACAAGCCCAAACAAAAAAATATAAACAAGTCTAAATTGAAAACAACTTTCAAACTTATGATTGCGTTGGATAAAAACCGCAATTTTTATACGTGTGCATGCAAAACAAATTTCTTGGTAAAGGGGTCTAAATACAGCACAAACAACATTTTCCAAAAGACCAAAAAAAGTGAAAAAGTATATTTTAACAAAACGCATTTGACTAGCAGGTCGAACAACGGATGTTCTTAAACCCTGCTGACTGCCATGGCGATTGCCAAAAAAAAAACGGATCACCAGATGTAAAAATTGATCTTAATTATTAATTTAAAACCAAACAGAAAACAATAAACTTGCGAAAAAGATGGTATACCGCAAACATGAGGTGTAAACATTTGTACACCATATCCGGATTTCGACAATTAATGTCTCTTCAGTGATGTTAGGAATCGAAACGGTATTTGGAAGACCATATAATTTACCTTAATTTGGGATTGACTCTTGAATTTTGAAAATTCAAAATAGGATGAACGGATCATATAAACCCGAAGGCAAATATAATACAAGCCCAAACGAAAAAAATATCAACAATTATAAATTGAAAACAACGTTCAAACCTTCGATTGCGTTGGTTAAAAACCGCAAGCAAAACAAATTTCTAGGTAAAGTGGTCTAAATACAGCACAAACAACATTTTCCAAAAGACCAAAAAAGTGAAAAAGTATATTTTAACAAAACGCATATGACTAGCAGGTCGAACAACGGATGTTCTTAAACCTTGCTGACTGCCATGGCGATTGCCAAATAAACGGATCACCAGATGTAAAATTGCATCTTAATTATTAATTTAATACCAAACAGAAAACAATAAACTTGCTGAAAAGATGGTATACCGCAAACATGAGGTGCAAACATTTGTACACCATATCCGGATTTCGACAATTAATGTCTCTTCAGTGATGTTAGGAATCGAAACGGTATTTGGAAGGCCATATGATTTACCTTAATTTGGAATTGACTCTTCGATTTTGAAGAGTCAAATAGGATGAAAGGATCATATAAACCCAAAGTCAAATATAATACAAGCCCAAACGAAAAAATATCAACAAGTGTAAATTGAAAACAACGTTCAAACCTATGATTGCGTTGGATAAAAACCGCAATTGTTATACGTGTGCATGCAAAACAAATTTCTTGGTAGAGTGGTCCAAATACAGCACAAACAACATTAAACAAAAGACCAAAAAAGTGAAAAAGTATATTTTAACAACACGCATTTGACTAGCAGGTCGAACAACGGATGTTCTTAAACCCTGCTGACTGCCAAATAAACGGATCACCAGATGTAAAATTGCATCTTAGTTATTAATTTAATACCAAACAGAAAACAATAAAATGGCGGTAAAGATGGTATACCGCAAACATGAGGTGCAAAAATTTGTACACCATATCCGGATTTCGACAATTAATGTCTCTTTAGTGATGTTAGGAATCGAAACGGTATTTGGAAGGCCATATGATTTACCTTAATTTGGAATTGACTCTTGAATTTTGAAGAGTCAAATAGGATGAACAGATCATATAAACCCGAAGGCAAATATAATACAAGCCCAAACGAAAAAATATAAACAAGTCTAAATTAAAAACAATGTTCAAACCTATGATTGCGTTGGATAAAAACCGCAATTTTTATACGTGTGCATGCAAAACAAATTTCTTGGTAGAGTGGTCTAAATACAGCACAAACAACATTATCCAAAAGACCAAAAAATTGAAAAAGTAAATTTTTACAAAACGCATTTGACTAGCAAGTCGAACAACGGATGTTCTTAAACCCTGCTGACTGCCATTGGCGATTCCCAAATAAACGGATCACCAGATGTAAAAATGGATCCTAATTATTAATTTAATACCAATCAGAAAACAAAAAACTTGCGGAAAAGATGGTATACCGCAAACATGAGGTGCAAAAAATTTGTACACCATATCCGGATTTCGACAATTAATGTCTCTTCAGTGTTGTTAGGAATCGAAACGGTATTTGAAAGACCATATAATTTACCTTAATTTGGGATTGACTCTTGAATTTTGAAGAGTCAAAATAGGATGAACGGATCATATAAACCCAAAGGCAAATATAATACAAGCCCAAACGAAAAATATAAACAAGTCTAAATTGAAAACAACGTTCAAACCTATGATTGCGTTGGATAAAAACCGCAAGTTTTATACGTGTGCATGCAAAACAAATTTCTAGGTAGAGTGGTCTAAATACAGCACAAACAACATTTTCCAAAAGACCAAAAAAGTGAAAAAGTATATTTTAACAAAACGCATTTGCCTAATAGGTCGAATATATATATTGTATCCTCTCACCAAATAATTCAAAAGTTTCCAGAGCTAGCGATTCTTTCTGCTTGCAATGAAGCTATAAAATCAAGTGTCACCAGCAATAAAGTCGAAATAATTTATTGGAAAATTTGACAAACACAATCATAATTGGTTAACTGTTATGGAAGTTTTTAAATTTTTTATTAATGTGTTCGTTTTTCTCAGTCTTTATTTTTTTAGGTAGTGTTTTGCCGTGATTTTGTCGTAGTCTCGTCGACTTATGAGTTGTATTTCTACCTTTTTGTAACTTCCACCTCGCTTTTAGTTGATATAATTCAGAAATAACAAATTGCTTTCGAATGATTTATAACCAAATCATAGTCGCTAATGATAATTGTCATTATTTACGATTCTATTATTTGTTTAAATGTACACACTTTATAGTGTTGTTGTTTAATTGAATTGAACGATATTTTCTATTCATTATTTTATAACGTAATTGATTTTTGCATAATGGTCTGCATTAAATTTTTCTTAAGAAATTAAAGTGTTATAATATTTATAAAGCTTTTTTTGTTTTATGTCGCTATATAAAGCATTTACATTTAATCAACATTCAAAATTTTATTTTGCATTGCTACCTGAGATATAAATTGTTTGGAAAAACCATTATACACCGGGCACACAAGTTGACAAGTAAACGACGCGGAACGTATCGTTCTATATTCAAGGTATTTTCCCTCACCACCAATTAACAAACGAGTTATCCGACAGCCGCACATAATGATAAATCCATTTGCTGCTATATTGTTGTAATTTATTAAAATTCTTGAACTAGAAGTATAAAAGAACTTAACTTGCTGATATGAAAGTTACCACTCTAGCTGTGTATATATTTGTCTTATTTCTAATAATGAAGAATACCATAATGATTTATTTGTATTTATTTTCTACATACACGGTTTTAGGCCACTTGGTGTTGATGGGTGCCCATTAGTATATACTTTTTGTAAAATATCATACAATTCCGGATCCTGACGTTTCAAATGGTCACGTGCGTCCATTTCATTAACACATATAGTGGACAGGTGGTTACATCTGAAATATACAGGACAAACATGACAAAAGCTTTTAAGATATTTAATAGATTTTTGAAACAACATTTATAATGTGATCAATCTTTGAAACGCATTTTGAAAATAATGAATTACATATTCATCATTCATATTTCTACGATTCCACGGATGAACAATGCAAAAGAGAATTCAAAGTGGTTATCCTACTGATGAGACTTACATGTACTACACTGAAAAAAACTAAAGACTGTACAACAAAACATCCGCTCACCCTGCTTTAGCGCAGTATCAATAAAAAAGACATGAACAAATCATTAAACATTTCGTTTGACCCAGCTGGGATAGAGAAAACCGACATGTTCCTGCCAAGGCAGTCACTTTACTAGACGAGTACAGGCTTCAAATTGACAAATGTAGTATAATATTATATTGTTGATTTTGATTTTATTAAATTACTCCCACTTTTTAGGAAGTATATGAAGAATGCAAACAGAATAAGACAAAAAATCAAACAGTAGTATTGTTTGAATTATATTGAATAAAACATTAAAGATTGTGCTACAAGAAAAATTAACAATGAATGCCAAACAAGTGGCACGTGTTGGCACAACATAATATAAGTTAACAATGTATTTAAGAAAGGCTTGTATTTCGTGCAATTTATTGTGGCTTTCCTTTATTAATTGTATTTGTTGATTTTAAGTTGTTGTTGAGTTAACAACTTTTCTTTTAACTGAATTTCCACATCTGGATTGAATTTCTGAAAACATGTTGCTGTCTCATTGACATTTATCCAACATTTCCTTGTATTTGTATATATATACAGCACAAACATCAATTTCCAAAAGATCAAAAAAAGTGAAAAAGTCTATTTTAACAAAACGCATTTGACTAACAGGTCGAACAACTGATGTCTTAAACCCTGCTGACTGCCATTGGCGATTGTCAAATAAATTGATCACCAGATCTAAAAAAATGGATCTTAATATTAATTTAATACCAAACCGAAAACAATAAACTTGTAGAAAAGATGGTATACCACAAACATGAGGTGCAAAAATTTGTACACCATATCCGGATTTCGACAATAAATGTCTCTTCAGTGATCCTTAACTTCACTGAAGAGACATTTATTGTCGAAATCCGGATATGGTGTACAAATTTTTGCACCTCATGTTTGTGGTATACCATCTTTTCTACAAGTTTATTGTTTTCTGTTTGGTATTAAATTAATATTAAGATCCATTTTTTTAGATCTGGTGATCAATTTATTTGGCAATCGCCAATGGCAGTCAGCAGGGTTTAAGACATCAGTTGTTCGACCTGGTAGTCAAATGCGTTTTGTTAAAATAGACTTTTTCACTTTTTTTTATCTTTTGGAAATTGTTGTTTGTGCTGTATTTAGACCCCTCTACCAAGAAATTTGTTTTACATGCACACGTATAAAAATTGCGGTTTTTATCCAACGCAATCATACGTTTGAACGTTGTTTTCAATTTAGACTTTTTATATTTTTTCGTTTGGGCTTGTATTATATTTTCCTTCGGGTTTATATGATCCGTTCATCCTATTTCGACTCTTTAAAATTCAAGAGTCTATCCTAAATTGAGGTAAATTATATGGCCTTCCAAATACCGTTTCGATCCCTAACATCACTGAAGAGACATTTATTGTCGAAATCCGGATATGGTGTACAAATTTTTGCACCTCATGTTTGTGGTATACCATCTTTTCTACAAGTTTATTGTTTTCTGTTTGGTATTAAATTAATATTAAGATCCATTTTTTTAGATCTGGTGATCAATTTATTTGGCAGTCGCCAATGGCAGTCAGCAGGGTTTAAGACATCAGTTGTTCGACCTGTTAGTCAAATGCGTTTTGTTAAAATAGACTTTTTCACTTTTTTTGATCTTTTGGAAATTGTTGTTTGTGCTGTATTTAGACCCCTCTACCAAGAAATTTGTTTTACATGCACACGTATAAAAATTGCGGTTTTTATCCAACGCAATCATAGGTTTGAACGTTGTTTTCAATTTAGACTTTATATATATATATATATATATATATAACAAACAATTATAGAAAAGACAAATTGTCTTACAGGTCCATTCCTCCAGCATTTTTGCTACTTTTTGTCGTCATGAAGAACGCTGTAGTGCCCTCTGCAAAGTATTCGTTTACTGTAGCTGTAGCATAGGATGTTGTCCATGTATGATGCTGTTTAGCATAGTTGTAGGCGTAGGATATCTAAAGAAACATATGGCAGTAATAATAATCTATATACATTGGCGATCCTTAAATTGTCACTTCCATTTGAAACTTTACTGAGTACTGATAGATTGTAGCCTTACGCCTGTTACTTAGTCAGAAAATTTGAATAATGTCGTACGTATTTTTCATGGAAGCTTCGATTTATGTGAGCGATATTATCTTGTTTTTTAAAATTTATTTCGTTGAGGAACTATCAGCTGATGTCTTCATGTAAAGTTTTTGTCTTATATCTTCGCCAGTTGCACTTAGAAATGTGTCATGGTATTGTAGAGGTATTCATTATAAACGTCAACAGACACAACTATTTTTGCCGACGACATAATATTTCTACGATATCGACGATCACATTTTAGAAGGAGATGAAATTATGAAATGATTTTTATTGAGCTCACAGCAAACTTCAGTTATCAATATGTGTAAATGTGTGGAAGACTTATATGAAATAACACGCCAGGAACTATTTTATGTCACTTGTTTGAAAACTAAGTGAGATGGTAAAACCCTTATTCCTGTAGTAGACACTGGGTTTATTTTTTGTTTCAGTTAAGGAAATATAGAAATGTTTAAGAAGTGATTTTTATTCATTTGAAGATCCAATCAGTGACAATTGAAAATAATGTCAGCTTACCCGATTTCTATAGGAGCTAGGCATGTATCTGTGTATCAGGTGAGCGAACTCGTGAGAAACAACATTAAGCTTGTGTCCGTAGGGATCATGAGAATTGCACAAAACATTGTCATCCAGTGCTACGGACCGACTGTTGGTTACTCCTGCTATTTCCTGGTATTTACGACCATCAAACGTACATGTTCGTTTACAAGAACCATCGCATTTATCTGTTCACAAAAGTAGAGAATTAGTTTGGTTCTTAATTGTCTTGGGTGATAAGACATAGTAGCTTTAACCAGTCTTTTTGCTTTTTTATAGTTTCAAAATACCATGGTCCGCTACGTTCGAATCCATTCTGTAAAAGTAACTTTCAAAAAAACTAAATCTGGAAAAAGGATGTTTAATTATTTGGATTCACTTTTCGACTTTCATTAGCAGAAAAATAATGTGGACATAGATCGTCGCGGTTCTGTCAAATACGAACGTATCTTTATGTAAACACATCATTATAGAGTGAAAATCGCGAATGTTGGTGAGAAAGAACTGATCGAGAAATTACGTTGATTGAAAGAACAATTAAATTAAAAAAAAATGAATACCCCGAAAGCCGTCTATGGTCAACTTAACCTGAAGGAGTTGGAAGAAAACATTTGAAAAGATTTCTTTTTTCTAATTGTTCGTACATGTATACAAAAGTTACCAAATCATTATGCCGTTCGTATTGTTTAGGATTAACTAGCAGAATAAGTCACCACTGCTGTTGTGGAATGGAATGTATTAAGTGATTGTGTCTTAAATATCTTACAATGTCACCACACTCATTACAAGAAAGGGATATCGGGTAGCCATTTCGAGTAAACCCCAATAAATGAAAAAAAACCAAACAAATACAAACAAAAACTTACACATATCAGTACACAATGAGAGTAGTGTTCGTACTTCGATTCATCACCGGATTTGTACTTGCACGAGGAACACGTTGGTCGTATGTGTAGCTCAGTATAATTTGCAATACAGTGTTTTGTGGACTTGTTCGTCTATTCGTCGTTTATTGTTTTTATGTCAATGCGTTGTCAGTTTTGTCGACTTTCCAATGTCTCCTTGTATCTTCGCCTCTTTTTTGACAGTTTTACGAATTTAAAATGTGATTGAAAAACATTACAAATTCAAATCTTTGTGATTGAGAATGAGATATATACGTTCAAGATCTACAAATAAAAGCTTAGATGCTTTCAATATACCAGACGTAACTAAACTTACACAAAGAGTCAGATAGCCTCTTTCTTTAACTCTATTTCTTTGTGTATTGCATTATATTGTTAGATTTTTAAAACATTTTGCAACCTCATGGTGAAAAAATTTTATAGCAACAATCTTGCATTCGACTGATAATTATATTAGAATGTAGGAGGGACATGTCGTTTCGAAAAATTGATAGAAATAAACAATAACGGTAACCATTTTTCTGCAAAAAATGCGCATTTCGACAATAAAATTCTCCTTAATGATGTTAAAGGCCAACAAATTTGAAAATCCAAAACAATAAAAATTTTCCGTATTTATATGCCAGTATCGAAGTATTGGGCTAGTTATATCCTCGGGGACTATACAATGAAACAGTCCATCGGTAGAGGGATCGACCCGGTGGTCCTAACAACATTATCGGTACCAATTACCAGATGCGCAATTCGATACTGAATTTCTCTTCAGTAATGCTCGAGGCCAACATTTTTAAGAATCAAAATTTTATCAACAAATCAAGGGCTTATAAACCTAAAAGCATAGTATATTTGACATACTGTGACACGCTGCTGTATCAGCTAGATGATGGTTTTCTGGAAATACAGTAAGAGTATCTTGTTTGGTAAATATACCAACTCCATGACTGCGTGTTACTCCCATGAACACATCAGACGGTGTATGGCGAACCATATAGGCAACAGTTTTAGCTGCCTGTAGTAGCGAAATAAAAAAAAGTTGCCATTAACGAAAGTTTATTTTTATCATGTAAATACTTGTTGTTAATTTTCGTGCATGCGGTTCTATTTTTGACTAATTTTGTACAATTAAACAGTTAAATATTTTGTTTGAGTATTTCATTTTTCACTTTTATCAGGTTGTTTTTGTTATGTTATATTTGCAAACACTTACCATGTTTATAGTAGGCAGGTTCATTTCGATTTTTTTTAAATTTGGGTTATCTTCTATAGATCAGAAAATAACTTCACCCCCCCCCCCCCCCCCCCATAAAAAAGGAAGATATCAAACTTAAAATACATGTATCTTCCATTACAATTTTCATATATCTTATAATTTCTACACCTATAAGTTAATAATGCCGACTTTAAACAAAGCTTATTTTATCATTTGTTATTCATAACCAAACCATTACTATTCTGTTGATCATGCGTCGCCAATGCAAGAATTTACCAGAAAACATAACTGCGAAACCAGATAATACTTTGCTGAATGCACAGAAGACATGCTTATAATGGTATTTATATGATACTCTATAACTAAATCATTTATCTTATTTTGGAATATCACTTCGCTCATGGTGTTGTATTTTATATTTATCAATTGATTGGAAAAAAAGTGAATTATATACCAAAGTACACAAATTTACCTTCATCAAAGCTAGATCAGATACATATGTAGTAGCCTGAACAGTGACTGTCGGACTTGATGGCTTTCTTGTATAGATGTGACCGCTATGATCGACATAACGACTTTTGAAACCAACTCTGTGATGAATGGTCAACGGCAGTTGTATTTTATCATCTTCGTGTAAATAGCTAAAATAATACAACATTTGAATGCATAATGCCTTTAATGAAATATTTATAATTTTTATACTGGTTTTTTGTGTGTATCGAATCTTCTGATAGTTTTTAAAAACCTTGTTATTACACCGACAACGCACTTAGTCTTAAAACATTTTTTTTTTTTTTTTTTTTTTTTTTTTTATATAAACAGCTTTGTTTAATAAATCGAAACTTTAAACTTTAACACAATATTCATATGCCCTTGTCGGCCTTTCCTTTGCTTTCCAAGAAGCAAGATCCTCCCTTTAATAAAAGCAAAACCACAAAATGACTGTCAGGATATTAAATTGGTTCTGTGCAGCTAAAATAAACCAAAAATGCCTTAATTTTTTTCGAGAAATATATTGTTTGAAATTATTATATGATCTCCGTCGTGCATATCTCCGTCGTCTGATTCCTTGTCCATGGCTGGCGTTACTTTAGCATAAACTTTTAAAGGTCCATTATGATGGTGTGCAAAGTTAGCAATGTCTGGTTTCTTATAATCTTTATTTACATTAAGATTGATTTATAAACCTAAGGGTAAAGTCTGTTTTCCATATGCATAGAATTGAATAAAAATACCTAAGTATAATTTGCGCAAATTATTATAAAAACAAACCTCTTTTCTTCATCTGATAAAGGAGGTGCCAAGCAGGTCACATCTGAATTTAAATTTGATGTTAGTCTTTAGGTTCGAAATAATTGCTTAAATATATATTCTTTAATGATAATACTTTATTTAAAACGTAAACTGCACACACAAACACTTGAAATAAACAGTACACTAATAACAACTATGCATAAGGTAAAAATTACACGAAGTCAAGTTAATAACTATATAGATATAAGAAGATGTGGTATGAGTGCCAATGAGACACCTCTCCATCCAAGTCACAATTTGAAAAAGTAAACCATTGTAGGTCAAAGTCCGGCCTTCAACACGGAGCCTTAGCTCACACCGGACAGCCGGCTATAAAGGGCTCCCAAAATGACTAGGTCAAATTAACACGAAAGTACGATTTGAGAGTACTCACGGTTACTGAAAGCTAGTTAAAAGCCAAAAACAATTATATAGAGAGATAATTGACCGATGTAGACTGCATTCCTGCAGCTCCATAATTTCTTTATATAGTCCACAATATTAGACAAATCATCTTTATCTCGATCTAAAACAATTTTAAGTTTTGGGTTTGAATTAAGCGGGTTTAAATCAGGCTAAAGGTTTTCAATCTCTTATTGTAAACACAAAAGACTTAGAGTTATTGTTTAATTCGAGCCGAAGCCGGAGGTAGTAAATACAGAATGATACTAGTATGTCATTGTTTAGTTCAAGTATAATCAAGTGCTGTATCATAATACAAAAGACTAGTCATGACTTTATTGCTAGGTGAATCCAGGACTTTAACTACAGAATAATATGTCATTGTTTGGTTCAATATATTCTAGGGCTTTATTGTAAACACAAATTTTCAAAGAGTCAATGCGTTATTGTCGGTTGAGACCACGACAGTAATTGTCATTGTTTTGGTTCAAATATAATCCAGGGCTTTAGTGTGAACACAAAAGATTTATTTTCTGGTCGAATCCAGGGCTAGTAAATACAAAAGAATACGTCATTGTTATTTTTGAAGCATACTCCAGGGCTGTATTGTAAACACAAAAGATTAATTCCCAGTCGAATTCAGGGTTAATAAATACAGAAGAATATGCCATTGTTATGAATCATGTTTAACTAGTGCTGTTTTGTAAACAAAGAAAACCAGACAACGAATTCATTGTTTCAATTCTGGTCGAATCCAGAGCTGCACTGTAAATATAGTAAATTATGCCAATGTTTAAATGCAAGTGTATTATAGGCTACATGAATGTGAATATAGAGAACTCAGTCAATGCGAAACAAGCTTTGATTTACGAATTGTGATGACAAAGTAGAAGAAAAGGCTTTGATTTGAATTTGTATCAGTAGGAGATATTTGCCAAATCAAAATGTGCATATGCTTCTTTATTACCTCATAAAAAAACTACCTACAGCATATGTTTTCCCACAAAAATCTACAATGAAATGTGTAGTTAGTTCTTAAAACATCTATTAAACTTTGTAATATTTTTTAAAATATCTCATATTTTCAAGAATCTCAAAAATAACCCGTTACAAATACATAATTGGTAATTGTTAAACAGTTTAAGTAGTAACGGTGATAAACTTAACAATATAAGCCCTTAAGTACACATATAGGCGCCAAGGACCTTTGATGGACATCATGTTGTTCTATTACGAATATCTTTTAAATAACAGAAAAAAATCTACTGGTTTTATGAATTGTACAACTTACCATTGATAAAAACCACCAAGCCCAAAATTAATGAAATGAACATGTCGTGATGTCGCCTTTGAAGATATTCTTATCATGAGAATTATCAAATATTCCTGTATAACATCATGTTCCAATAGACATGTAGTTCACTCAATATGATAAAGCACTATTATCTGTATGTATTCAGTCAAGAGTTCTGAGGAATTCTGTGTAATTGTAAATTTTCTTGGACCTTTTCAAGATATGAAACAACAACAAAAACGTTAACTTATATGAAACAAGAAAATAAAATTGAGTGAGAAGGCACTCTTCTATATTTTTTAGTTTTATAAACTAGTTTCCAGTTGTTGTTAATATGTCTTTCATTGTTATAGATCGTGTCATGTGATTTGAATACATTGCAAAACTTTATAATCATTTGCTGATTTAAAAACAAAGTTTTTAGTTAATAACATTCTGTCTTAATATTCGGCTTATTGCCTTTAGATGGCAGCTTGATGTAGTCACGTTTTTCAAATATTAGGAATTATACATGTATTTGTTTTCTAAATATGAGGAAAACACTAAACATTTTGCCTGAGGCAAAATGTCTGCTCAAATCGAACAGCTGTGATCACGTTTCTCCAACATTTGATTTATAATTGTATAAAGGTAGATAATCTCGTTATTTGTTTTTGAAAAAGAGATTTATGAAATTTACCTGTAAATGGAGTTACAGTGAATTCAGCTTAAATCAACATTTACTGGATTTGGCGGAATGATGGTTGAAAAAAAATTAAATGGAAAAAAATCATCTTTTTTGTCATAGAGCATAGTGATTAACAACGTTAAAATATAGAAAAGTGCTTTCCACCTATGAAATTAAAGGATCTGATGTTTCTTAATTGTGAAGAATAAATGTTAGTCATGTTCTTTGTAAGGGATTATCGTATTGTTAAGGCCAGTAACTGTAACTTATAATATTTGATTTCCTTATAAAATCAGTGCAATATCTACAAGCAGGACAAAACGTGAAAACAATTGTTTTATTTCGGAAAATTTAAGTTATGGTAAATCTATATTCTAGTCTGAAAATGTTAATACAATCGATTGCTAATTTATACACACAATTTTCTAACATGGTGAAATTGATTACTGAAAGCCGAAAGTAACTTGTTTTCACTGGAAGTATTTATTATGCCATTTTTTTCTGTATTCATTTCATTTCCCTCAAAAATGTCATAGAAAATAAATTTGAATAATCTATATTTTTCAAATCAATTAAATACAACAGATTGGCAAGCGGCGGATACACACGCGCGTTATAAGAAACGACGTTACTGTAATAATCCAAAACGCCGCCGAAACAAATTTACATTTTTGTTTTGAAATTCAAAAATTCCCCATGATATAAAACTACATGTACTAGTACTAATAATAAAAATAATAATTTTGATTTAAATAGGGTTACCGAATTAAATAGACTCTGCACTATCAATTCTTCTATGGTGCCTCCTCGCGAAAGCACATGATAACTAGGATCTAGTGTCTTAGGCATAACTGTAGAGGATCTCGGAGTAGCAAGGACCATAGAATTGAAATGTGTAGGCCCATCGCCGTGTGGACATATATTAGTACACATAAACCTTGCCCCAGTTATGCTGGTGTATGTTTCATCCCCAAGGTTATCACCAGCCCAGTAGTTAGCACTTCTGTGTTGACATGTGTTATCATTGATATATTCATACATTGTTATAATAAATGTACGGTTTAGAAAACGTTGAATTTTCCGAAATATTAAAGGTATTCTACCCCGGTAATAGACTTATTGAGCTGTTTTTGGCAAAACCTTTCGGAATTTTGGGTCCTTAATGCTTTTCAACTTTGTACTTTTTTCCCCCGTTTTTTAACGTTTTGGTTCTAGAGCCAATGATGCGTCTGGCGTACGACATGTTAATCCTGGTATCTTTGATGAGTTTATATACAGAATGGAGAAGCAGAATCAATAGTTACAAGTACGTTCAATACACATTTTTTATGTGTCTGTTCCTCCCAAAAACTTCATTTTTTCTCTATGGTGCCTTTATTTTCTCTGTTAAAAATAGCATCCAACTATTGTGATGGTATGCTTTGTTAATCTTAAACTTTAATATGTGGTTTCCCCTTAAACTGATCTAATCAAACTTTAACAGGTAAATTATGCAAACATTTCAAATGAATGGACCATGATTGACCGGGGGGAACGAAATGGGATGTTCCAATGTTTCTACCACTGCATACCATATATCATTGACTTAGCATTAGTGATTCCCCCTAAATTGACATAATCACAAATTTTGACCTGTAAAATTTACAAAAATTCCAAAGTCAAAAGACCCTGACTTGATGGGGGTCTACCAATCCTCAGTGAAGATGTGCAAATGACAATACATCTGCATACCAAATATTATTGACTGGTCAGCAGTGGTTCTCACAAAATGAATGCACATAAAAAAACTTTTACTGGCTACAAATGTAAGTAGGTAAATATTTCAAATTCAATAGACCCTGACCACGGAGGTTGGCCAAATAATCTCCATTGAAAAGTTATGTACCAATTCTAATGCAACTGCATGCCAAGTGGCATTGACTTACCATTAGTGGTTCCCTTGACGCTTGAATAATCACAAAGTATGATTTATAAACTACTAGTATGGAAATCATTCAATGATAAAGGACTATGACTGAAGGGGCCTATTTATATCTATTGGAATTAGATGTGCCAATGTTAATACTTCTGCACACCTAATATCAATTATTTATCATAAGTGGCACTTTTGGTAAAAGAAAGAAGACAGATCTTCACATTCTAAACATTTCTATTTAGTCATATTTACGTTTTCTTATGGTTTTCATGGTTTGAAAATTGCTTGTATTTTACCCTTGTATTCTTTGTATAGCATTGGCGGTTATATTCTTTGATGGAATAAAATATAATTAAAAACTATAATCCAGACAGCATATAACTTTCTATATCAAATTCTGCAAATTCAAGGATTTATATAGCTCTTTTATTTGAAGTTCAAATTAAGGGTAAAGACAGACGACTGACGCCAAATAGATAGAAATTGCTCATATACACTTAAGTTTAGAATAAGATTAATTGTGATCAAATTTGGTTCCAATTAAGTCAGTGATTTCAAATTAATAACATTATAAAAGAGACCAGATGAGGAAAGTTAAGATTTTGTTGACAGGAATAAACATTTGAACACAAAACTCACATGGTGAAATTATCATTTAAGAAGAATGTGTCCATTGTACACGGATACCCCACTCGCACTATCATTTTCTACGTTCAGTGGACCGTGAAATTGGCGTCAAAACTCTAATTTGGCATAAAATTAGAAAGATCATATCATAGGGAACATGTGTACTAAGTTTCAAGTTGATTGGACTTCAACTTCATCAAAAACTACCTTGACCAAAAATGCTAACCTGAAACGGAACAGACGAACAAACAGACGGACGAACGAACGAACGAACGAACGAACGCACAGACCGAAAAACATAATGCCCCTCTACTATCATAGGTGGGGCATAAAAATGTACCGTTGCAACAGTAATTCACAAATATCTTTTGATGAAAAATGGTAATAGCATCGCTGATAATATGGGATCGGTCAAAGTGTCTTCAGATTTTAAACGGTAATAATCCAAAGGAATGTCTGATTATGCACAATGACGTAAAAGTCTAGTAATTCGGCATTGTTTAAAAGAAAACTCCTGGATTTAAGAACTAAGAACTGCAAGATTCTATGATTATTAACACAAACGTGATGGTATAAATATTTTATCTAGTCACCTCCTGCAGCTCGTCGAACGTGATGACTATTTTCAACCCTGCTCCTCGGCATAGACGGAGCAATGGTAACGTCATTATACATCCTTACTCTCGATGATGTCTCTATCAATGAACTTCTGTTGTGTATACAGAAGCCAGTGGGTATTCATTACTATTTATTTTGAATTTTCATTCTCTGTACAACCACTATTTTGAAACCCCATTGAAACCAATACAAACGAACAGAATATCTCGGATATTTTTGGTCACAGACTTTTGACCACTTTTCAGACATGTTTTTATGTGAAAAGTTTTTATGAAGAGACGACTTTCCCATGTCACCAAAGATCTCGATACGATCAATTAAGTTATATATATATAGCACGCCTTTTTACGAATTTACGTATTTAATTCACGAAAAGCGTAGCTTTGAGTGGTTAAAAATATTGATGAGTAAGGCGTGGGTATATATGATTTGTAACATATATAGGCGATGACAAATGTCAAAGGTTAATTAAACTTAACTGTTCTTTTAATGAATTAAATATGTCAATCAAATAGTGGCGCTTTCTATGACAAAACGTCTCTTATGTTCAGAAAATGATGTTATGGATCACATTTCTTAGTAGGATTTAAAATTTATGGTACATGCTCAGGTAAATGAATAGTTGCAATGATAGTTTCATCAAGGTTAAAAGACCAGAAACCGATTTATGTGTTATTGAAGTGTCCCCCCCAAAAAAAATCCGTGTGGGGGTAGATGCAAAATCGTGTTCGTTGTATGCCATGTTTTCTGCTTTCAAAACCTATAGGACGTGTACTTTTAGAAGTGTTAAAAGTTGTGATGAGAAGGAAACGTTTTTAAACTTACTCTGAAGGTATTCTTCCTTTCCCAACATCATGAAAAAGATCGGTTAATTGATGTTTTTTTTATCTTAAGCAAGCTCAATTCACGGAGATATACCTTTGAAAAGTAGTGAAGAAATGGAACGACTGAACATCCAGTGACATATTTTTGGAATATTTATTTTGACACACTTAAAACAAGTATCCACCAATTTATGAATATCGCATTTTCGTTAATAGACCATGTAATCCCTGTTTGTAGCTCTCCTCGGGCATTCATTTGTTTCAAGTTTATGGAACCATTTGTTATTTGAGATAAGGTTAACAAGTTTGACTAGATAAATGTTAGGGTAAGGCCATTTCCGAAATTTATGTTTTGATTAATTGTTGTGTATGCATTTTATTTAGATTTAGTGGGAAATTTTG